TAACTCTCGGATGGAGTGTGGTGTACGTCCTGAATATCTGGGTTGGATATATTGGAGAAGGTGCGGATGTCCTGCTAGGCATGAACTTTATGCATTCAGCAGGCGTTCGACTCTGCATACGAGAAGGCTTAGTCAAGCTGCCAGACGAAGAGACTGTGGTGATGTATGACATTGACCCCAAGTCCCGTGGTATGGATCTTCCTGTGTGCCAGAGGAAAGTATACACCTGCGTCCGGGTCAGGACGCTATTGTACGAATTCGGTATGGCCAGTCCAATCCCCAACGCGAATTGGTGTAGGAAAAAACTGGGTGACCAAGGTCCTGTACTCTACTAGATCCTGGGCGACTGCCGTCAAGGTGGTTAATGTTTCAGACCAGAACGTTTGGATCGACACCAGGACTCCGGTTGCGCGTATTGTGGAGTACGGACAGTTCCCAGGACAGCCTGGATTCGTTCGTCCTGGTAAGGCGCGGTATGAGGAATGGCAACAATTAATCCATGAGTGTACCGTGTCGCGCCAAGCAAGGATGCGTGCTGAGCGGTTAGAGCAGATTCTCAGGGAAAGGGGGCCCCCGTGCACCCAGACTCAGAGATATCAATGGTCTACTAAGCCCTTGATTCGTCCGCAACCCCAATCCGTTGAAGTAAAGATGGTGAAGCTGCAAGAGAAGCCGAAACCAGTGGATATGACGCTCAAAATCATCGGGAATGCAGCGGTCGTCATGAACACGGTCGTGAGAAATCCCGAGGAACACGAGACTCACCCTGAACCGGTAGAACAGACCCATTCTGACCTGAGTCCAAAGGTTGAGACCTTGAATCTAGAAAGTATGATGGATGGCAAGAATAATGCTCAGGCCCCTGAACCGTCAGTGGATGTCCACTCACAGACGAGTAATTCGACACGGGTCCAGAGGCTGGAGGCAGAATATGCTCGGGTGATGCGAGTCTCTGCTGAAGAACTGGACCTGGAACCTGCTGTATATCTCAGAGAAGGAAGTGATCTGATGACTCAGTTACGAGACCAACTTATCATGCTCCCGGAAATTGAAGAATTGACCCCAGAGTGTGACATCGACGAAGCGAATGTTGGAGTTCCGGGGGTCACAACTCCAGAGATGGAAGCTAAGATGAGGGGGATCCAGAAACGCCATCGCAGTATCTTCCTGGGGGACGGTAATGCAGCTCCGTCTCCGGCCAGGGGCGTGGTGTGCGACATCGACGTCGGTGAAGCAAAACCAGTGGCTCTACGTGCGAGGCAGATTGCCGCACCTTTCTTAGTGAAGGTGTTTGAGCTCCTGAAGAAGTTGCTAGAGACAGAGCTCATTGAGCATTCAGAGTCTGAGTGGTCTTCACCTATTGTGATCGTGCTGAAGAAAAACGGCATCGATATCAGGATGTGTATTGACTACCGGCTTCTGAATTTGCTCATTAAGCTATCTCGAAGCTATCTCGCTATCCTCTACCCTTGATCGATGACCTGCTGGTAGACGTCAAATCCGCGATGTGGTTTATGAGTCTTGATATGGCGAGTGGAGTCTGGGCGGTGCGAAAGCAAAGTTGACCTCTGCGTTCGTCTGCTCGTTCGTCCACTTTCAAGGGCTCATAATGCCATTTGGATTGAAGAATGCACCGTTAATTTATCAGAGCATCATCATCAACTGTCTGTGGGGATTCGTCCGTCTACCTCCTGAGGAGGAAGCGATGGTTGACGCAGAAGTTCTGGAGTTCCTGAATCTCAAGCCTCAAGAAACTCTGAAACCTGAAGCAGATATGCGGGACTCAGAGATTCTATCATTGGACTTGACTGTATTCCGAAGCAATATCCCGGCTCCACCACAAATGGGTCCAGTCCTAGGGAGAAGCTCGTATATTGACGATATCGCTCTTGGGGCGTCGACCTGGGACCAACTATGTGAGGACCTGGACGCGTTGTTGTACAGACTACGATACAGGAATATCTCTGTGAGCTTACCGAAAAGCGAATTCGGAAAGTTGGCCGTCCCATTCCTTCCTCATGAAGTGAGTGCAGACGGAATCAGAGCCTTGCCGAAGTTTGTCAAAGGCATAGAGGACTTACCTTTCCCGTCGACGTACAAGGGAGTGCAGTCCTTCTTAGGAAGTCTGAATTATTACAACAAGTTTAATGAAGACTTACCAGTAGTTGCCGCTATGCTCTACAAACTAGACGAAGAGCGTGTACGCGCTGGACGCAACCTGGAAGCCGCAAAGGAGTCTTTCGAGATACTGAAACGTAAGATCGTGTCGACCCCGTTGCTGCGATATCCAGATAGAACCGAGCCTTTCGTGATAATTCCGCATGCCAACCCGTGGGCGGCGTGTGCT